TTTCGGTCCTGTGTTTTTACTGTCTAATCAAAATATGAACTGTTTGTTTTATTGCAATAAAGATTCACACACGCCACCCCTACAGAGTGCTCAGTGTTTCCCCCAGATGTGTGCAGCTGTCACAGCTGTGTAACACTAGCAGTGTACTGAGGACACAATGCTGCTGTGTTTATTGATGCTGTGAAAATATGAAGCAAAACTAATGTGGCTTATAACAGTTGTAATTATATTAAGATCTGTCATTCTTACACAATTGAGCTGTAAAATATTTTTTAACATACTGTGAATGAAGTCGCAGATAAACTCAATTTTTAAAGTGGAGGTGACAAAGAGCAATCACTTTTATAATTTAGTTTAATGTATGTCTGCTGCAGTGCTGCCCATGTTGCCTGCCTCATCTTTACAAGCATAAGCAAGCAAATAAATCAATCTCATCAATATTCTGATGGTACCACAGGTTTGGAAAATTCATATACAGTACTCATAGGACCTAAGGGCACAAAATGTACAGAGGTTTATTACTGACTTAAGATTTATCAGTTACAGTTACTATGAGTTAATTGGGTATAGGTGGGTTACATACGTATGTATAGTAACACGCTATCCCAGTATAAACAGTCTGTCAAAACAAGCACCTTTTGTAACTGTGTGATGAAATGTATCCAGTGTCAGCAATAACAAAAAGAAGATTGTTTTCAGTGAAATCATATCCTTACGTTGTTATTTGGCAGTTAATCTAACTCTTACACATTTCATTTTGCCATCATATTTGGATTTTACAGAGATAAAATTAGCTCACCAGTAACAGTTAAACTGAAATAAATCACAACTCAGGTCATTTACCACAGCAATTTGCATACTATACAGAGCAGTAACTCACAGCACTTTCATCTATTAAATTCCCATCTGTCAAAACAAACTGTTCATCTATGGACTATGTGTTACAATACCTTTTGAGTCTGTCCATACCATTTTTTCCAAGAAAACAAGCAGCATAGGTATGAGTCCGTGTGCCTTTGCCATGTCAGACCACTTGAGCTGTTATGTTATTTGACAAGCATGTGTGTGAAAGCACATTTGTGTGCAGTGAGCTATGAATGTGCGATTCCACTTTACATCTTTCCGAACACTAATCAAACACTGACTAATTAACCAGGCAGGTAAAAGTTTAACCAGCCTCCTTGTGAATGCTCCACTATACACAACTCCCAGGCTTAAGAAAAACACAGGTAAAACCTAGAGTAATATTTTTTCTATTCACAAAATGAGTACACGTCATCCCTGCTGTCTAAAAACAGATGTGCATTACTTATATTTTGAAAGGAGGAGCTCCACCAAATCAGATATCATAATGAAAGAAAATAATTAGCTCCAAAAAACAAAAGCAGAAGAAAACATCTGAAGGTATTAAAGGAAAACTGTCACTGATGACACCGTACTTTTATTTAATAAGAAGGCTTTCCTGCTGTAATGTGGCAGTCCTTTTGTCAAAACCTACAGATATACCTAGTTTAAATTGTATCACAATGTTCAAAATCCACTGTGAAAAAAAGTTGAGGTACGTTTCATTTATTGTATAAACCAGATGCAAAAATATAATGTTTAAGAATCTTAACTTATCTTAACTCTTGTTTTATATACAGAGGTTTCACTAGCTCACCCTACACAAGCATCATAGTGTATAGAAAATAATAATAAATCAGCTCAAAAACAATTTCAGCTACAAAATAATTTGTAACTTAAAAGTTAAGAAAAGTTTGGGCTATAATAAGGTGGTCATTTTTGTCATAAACAGAAAATAAACAACATAAACATGGCTGTTCAATGGTAAAAGTGCTCTGTCTTGTCTTTGTCATATTTTGAAAGACAATGACCTCTAGAGGCCACAAATGAGATGTCACCTTAACATGTGAACGGCTGCCTGGTGCCCAGCAGCTGTGGGGTCACATATACAAGGTAACCAAACATAATCATTTAATGTATGTCTAATATGCAATAAATCACACAGACATTTAGCTCATTAAAAATCTGTCCTGTTGAATATCCCATATGCTGGAGATTGACTATATATGTGGACTGCTTGTTGGTAATGGTAAATGGTCTTATACTTGTATAGCACTTTTATAACAACATATTTTGAGTAAAAAAACTATAAATTTTTGAAAATGACATAAATATAAAGTCAAATATTTTCCTGAAAACATAATGACAATGCAAAAATTTGAAACACAGTCTTGACAAACAGAACGACAGACGCCTAATTGCAACAAGATGTACAAAATACAGCTCCCAGTCTGAAGCTAAAGTTAGCTGACTAACCAGTAAATGTGTCAGTCCAGTAGAATGCTCTGGTTACTGGTAATGTGACACACAGCACTAACTTTAAACAAAGCTCAAATTACTCCCAAATTAAAATCATGTTAATTCATCATAAAGGTACAATTCAAAACAAATGTTAGCTTTAGATGCTAACACATCCAGATGTTAACCCTAGGTTTTCGCTCTTTCTTTGTCCCACCCTCTGTGCTAAATACGCCACCTCTTCACTCTGGCAGCCACTAATTTACAGACCGTGCTTTGACAACACAGAGCAGAGAAGCTGGAATAACAACAAAAGGGCTGTAGGCTGCACAGTGGTTGTGCAGGGGGGAAGTGTAGCTATGAGACCCTCTCCCATTTTCACTTTTTCAGACATTATGAAAAATCTTTGTTACTGCACTGTGATGGTGAAGTATGCAAATCCTTAAGTTAAAATAAATACTTAGTTAGATTCTACCACTAAGAGACAACTCTCATGCATCATTCTTCACTTCTACAATAACAACAACATGCAGAGGTGATAGCTGATTATTTTCCCTGTAAAAATGTCCATTATATAACAGTTTTGCACTACTCTGAGGAAGCAAATTGTCCCCATTGCCCTATCATGTCTCAGCCTTAAATAACTAGTGGTTACACTGGGGAAAAACAGGTTCAACTTTGAACTTGTTGAGTAAAGTAGCTTCATCCATCCACCCATCCATTTTCCTCCACTTATCCGGGACCGGGTAGCTTCAATTCAGTTTTAGTTGTATAGTGCCAAATCACAACAAAATCTTCTCAGGAGACTTTACAAATTAAGTACTAGACCTTACTATTATTATTATTGTTGTTGTTGTTAATAATAATAATAATATCATTATTATCACTGAGGAAAAACCCAACATTCTCCTAGAGCAAGCAGTTGGCGACAGTGGGGAGGAAATACTCCGTTTAATGGAAGAAACCTCTGACATGCGACTCTCCGAGCAAGAGAAAGAAGGAGAGGAAGAGGAGAAAGCCACTGATCTCAACTTAGCTAGCTTCTAAGCTAGCTGACCTAAAGTAGCAAGTAAAATTTGGAAATTAGCAAAAGCCTATGTAACACAGGTGCTTATGTAGTGCAGGTGTATGTTGTGACTCAAAAAATTAGCTGATGTTCAGATAAACCTAGAAATTAGTGAGTTTAATCGATAAACAATCTGGTAGCAAGCACAACACGATGCAGACACAGTAAACAGGAAGTAAATATGATTACCGCAGGAACAGGAAACAGCAGTCCCAGCACCTTCAAAGGATTTACATTTGACTTCTTTAACCCTGGTGTTCTCTTTAGAATTACTATACACGCCCTTTTGAAAAACTTTGTAAAAATTTTGTTTACAGTTTTTCTACAAAAAAGTATCATCCATTAAAATAGCCCTTTAAAAATGCTACTTTTAAGAATTTTATTTCAAAAAGAACTTTATTCAATTATATTTGTTTTAGATTGTGGTGTATTTTTGTGTTAGATTTATTTATAGCATTGTGTTTATTTTAATGCTGCACTGATGCACGGTGGTTAGCACTGTTGCCTCACAGTAAGTAGGTTCTGGGTTTGAGCCCCGGCCAGTCTGGGGCCTTTCTGTGCGGAGTTTGCATGTTCTCCCCGTGCTTGGGTGGGTTCTCTCCGGGTGCTCCGGCTTCCTCCCACAGTCCAAAGACATGCAGCTTAGGTTGATTGGTGTCTCTAAATTGCCCGTAGGAGTGTGTGTGTGAGTGGTTGTTAGTCTGTGTGTTAGCCCTGCGATGGACTGGCGACCTGTCCAGGGTGTACCCCGCCTTTTGCCCGCAGCTGGCTGGGATTGGCTCCAGCCCCCCGTGACCCCGTTTGGGACTAAGCGGTTTAGAAAATGGATGGATCCTGTGGTCTCTAAACAAACTATAAACCATAACACTAAATGAGGGTGCAATTTTTTGAATATTTCGGTACGCATACTCTGCTATTTCCTGAACCTTTATCCGATTTATTTGATGAGTTAAAAACAGTTCAAAGCCTCAGTGTAGGAAACACATCTTCTTTCATGAATGATATCTACTTAGGAGTCATGAGAGCAGATGTGGCCCAGACATATGCTTGCATCTGTCCACTCTCGATGGGGTCATTTGCAACATCCATCATCACAGTGCACAACTTGAGAGAAAATCCTGCAATGTATAAAAGTAGGCTACAAGCTTTTTTATTTGGTCAGAATGATAAAACTGCTGGTTGAATTATCCCCCCCCTCCCCACCTTCTGGTGCCTCCAGTTTGTAGGTTACTGAACGATTTCACCCACCACAGATAAGAAGATTAGAGAGGAATTAATGGTATTCCTTTGTCGTCATAGGAATAAATTGCTATTTGGTTTTAAATCAGAGGACAGGCGCAACGGGAAGTTAGAGCAACATTTAGCAAAGAGATGGCACAGTGACAAACAAGCTCAGCCAGGGGGATGCCAGCACACCAGAGCTCTCGAATGATTGTTCACCATGTTACAGGACATGAAAGCGCCAGATAACACAGAAGTAGCTGGGTGTGCATGTGGCAGGGCAGAATGAGTGCTGTTGGGACATGGACATCCCAGTAGAAGACAGGGCCAGCTGTGGCATTCCTTGGGTGAGACACTGACGCAGTGGGAGGAATATCTGGGCTCCTCTCGATTCTCCAGCCACAGCTTAACCATGAGAGCGGCCCTCCTGTTTTTGAGACTGATGTGCTTGGCCTGGCTGTGGCCTGTCACCCAGCTCAGCAGCAGACAATTCCCGATCAAGAGGAGAAATAAGGAACTGAATGTTGGAGAGAAGACTAAACAAAAGTATGGAGGGTAAGGAAAACTGGAATTTCTCCTATGATGCGTTGCTTTTTTGCAAATGTTGAACTGATTCTGCCATTGACATTTAATGAAATGTATTTTTTGACACCTGGCACCCAGATTTTGTGGCTTTCTGGGAGGATTTTGGTCTGTGTCCTGTTTTACATCACCATCAAAAATATAGTTGCATAATTAAACTCGATGCTTTCCATTAATAGTGGATCAAGCAGGTCATTTACAGCTGCGTTAAATCTGTGACAACACACTGAAAGAACCATTAAAGCCTTTGAATTCAATCAGTGCCAAAGTCCAATAAGCAGTCACTCAACCAAATGTCAGTTCTCTGTGTGTCTGTGGTAGAAAGAGAAATGTCAAGACAGAGAAAGAGTTTTTATCCAAGCTGTAACTTGTTCTCCTTGGTTTTCAGTAGGGTGACTCTTAAGATGAAAAAGCTGGACAGCACTAAGTCTCTTCTAATTAAATCTGAGCAACTGCTTCGGATTGAAGACCATGACTTTGCAATGCGGCCGGGCTTTGGAGGTAAGAACCACACGTCATCCATTCATTTATCTATTTAACTTTAGTTCTTTATTTTTTAATTTCATAATAATTTCATATTATTTTTAATAACCATGTGTTTGCTTTGTAAATCAGTATGGTTAGTGCAGGTTACTATGGTGCCTTTGGTATTATGACTCCCAAAAATCCCTTGGTGACCTACATTGTCGGCCATGTGAGAGAATGATTGCAGACAGTTGTAGAGACCAAATCATTTTAACTGCTCCCTTAATTCTGTGTGAGTGGAAAAAGTAAAAAAAAAAAGTGACACAGTTTTATAAGACCTATGTTTTGTAATGATCTACAAGCACAGAGGTAAAGGTTTTCATTTGAATTTCTATATTAGACACTGTAAAAATGTGTAGAACAAATATGTACTTGACAATCTTTGTATTTTCCATTTTTCAAAAACACAGCAAATAAGCATTCTTTTATACCGGGCTGCCCAGTATAATCTCTCCCACTTCACTACTCTGAAGTGATGGTGTTGAGTGCTTTTAGCTTCATTAGATAATTGCACTGAGAGAACAGGATGTTGACAGCGCACATTATACGTCTACAGTATTCTGACAGTAGACACTGACAGGCCCATTCCACTTGTTATATGTTTACAACATATAAAACTTTCAGTGTGCTAGTATTTAACTTAGCATTGTAACATTTCAGTTTCCTGAGCCAACAACTAGGTTTTTCAGTGCAGGCTGCAACAGGAGCACATGTGGTTGCCATCCAAACTGAATCACTTTGTTGCAATGTTTCAATAGAGGGGCTCTTAATTTCTTTGCCATTTCTGCATCTGGAACAGACAACACAGATGCATAGAACAGGAAAGCTCTGAAATACAGAACTGATATCTTCTCATGGCATTTGTGTCAGTTTATGCTGGGTCATGCAAACTAAAGTACCCCCTGATGGGAGTGTTAATGTCAGCGATTGCTTCAGACTCTTGAATGTTGAGTGCTGAGAGTTCTGAGAGAGTGTCACCCATATAACAGCAATGATATTTATGTTGTATCCATGTAGGTTGTTGGAATGAACCAGTTATTCGCATAGGTCAGATCTGACAAATAGAATAAAATCAGCTTTGGATCGCTTGCCTGTCTGCTAAAGTCTTATTTTGAAAGGATTTGGTCACATTTTGCCAGCAGTAAAGCAGAAACACAAATGTTGCTAACATTACATAAATAAAATTCATAAGTCTCATAAGTTATCTTTTCAAAACATACAATTCATGTAGTTTCTTTAAAATAGTGCCAAGCCAAGTGTGTCATAATAATGTTTTTATCTTAGCTTCCTGTGTGAGTAGCAGACTCGAACAGATGAGTAGTGCTGTTTTTCACCATTATCCATCAGCTGTGTGTAACTGATGAAATGATGTTTTTATTTAGAGATTATATGATGCACATATAAGCAAAGTAATATTTAAAAGCCACCATGATGACGGGGTCATCACTTTCATCTAACCTTTCCCTGGTTTCATCTGTACAACGTGGCTTACACAGACATAATCTCTGACAGATGTGCAGACTGACAGTTCACAGAGGAGGTGAACCACTTTTTGCTTAAAACGATCCATTACAACACTTGACCTTTTACAGGTTCAGCTATTCCTGTTGGCATCGATGTGCAGGTGGAGAGCATTGACAGCATATCTGAAGTAAACATGGTATGTGGCTGTAGGATTTCTGTAGCTAGCCAACATACAGTGTGTGTGCTTATCTCTGTTGAGCATAGGCAGCGGTGTTTGATTTTTTTCTTCCTAGGACTTCACTATGACTTTGTACCTGAGGCATTACTGGCGGGATGATCGCCTGTCCTTCCCGTCCAGCAGCAACAAGAGTCGCACCTTTGACGCTCGGCTTGTGAAGAAGATCTGGGTTCCTGACGTGTTTTTTGTCCACTCCAAACGCTCTTTTATCCATGATACGACCATGGAGAACATTATGCTCAGGGTTTATCCTGATGGCAACATTCTCTACAGTGTCAGGTAAAAAAAAAAAAATTACTTTGACTACCGTGTATGATTTCTACTGTATTTCTAGTTGCACAGTCTTGCTTTAACCTTGCATGGGGATATCAATCAGTGAGTCATATTAGAGAGTTCTGCAAAGGATGTCAATAAAGATATAAAACAATCCACTGAACTATTACAGCATTTTAGCACAGAGCCTGAAGCAATATGAGAAGGTAGCCTGTTCATTCTATCCATTTCAGCCACAGATGTTGACAATAAGGCATCATCCCCAACAGCTTTCTGCAACCACAGACCTTGTCAGGTGCAGCAGCAATTATTGCTTACTGTACCATCAACATCTGAACCATTAAAAATCTGTCCAGTTTTGTTTTGTATTCTATTTGACATCCTACTAGTTGATTCACTGAGATTAAGCTACAAACGTTAGCTATTAATGCAAATGCAACATTTTCTGCAAATACAGTTTTTGATGCCGAATGATTTCCTGCTTTATACGAGTGTTTTATTAATTGTATGCTGTGTTTTAGGATCACCGTGACTGCACTTTGCTCAATGGACTTCAGTAGTTTCCCTCTGGACACACAGAACTGCTCTCTGGAGCTGGAGAGCTGTGAGTATCGGCATGTGGGACACTGATGCAGGCAAATTCCTGATTGGATATCCAGTGCTGTTTCCAGAGAAACAGTCAAATGTTGCATTCAAATTCTATTGTATTTTACACAACTTTTAATGCACTATTTTGTAACTGAAAGTTGTAGGCCAAAGATATTTTTTAGCTCGTTAAGTTATTAAACAGCAGCCACGTTGCTGGTCAAAAACACCAATATATGGATATGTTTGAGGGTTATACTGATGACATGGAAACACACACTGTACATAACTCACAGTGCATTACTTTATAAACACATAATAACCATCACCATCTTTTTTTGTATAGAATAAATGAGTAATAACTCTCAGTCAGGTCAGTCTCTGTCCATTAGTCTGTCTTCCTCATGCAGGATTTTCTAGGGATTATTATTTTTCATTCTGTTCTCATCTGAACTTGAAGTCAGTTATAACTGATGATAGAGTCAGGATTACTTTAAATGTAGATTTTGGAGATTCTTTTGTCTTTCTGGCCTGCTTCTCTATCTCTTTACCCTCTGTCTCATGTTAGTGAATAGATACAGCATGGATTTGGATCTTAGAGGAGAGTTGGGAGTCCAGTGTGTCTGTGCATTCTCTCCTCTCCTTTGAGGATAACATCAATGATGCTTCTAGAGAGGCAGCATGTGAAGGTGTCATCACATCCCTCCCTTCCCCCTTCTTTCCTCTTTTGAAGATGCTTACAGTGAGAATGACCTCATGCTCTATTGGAAGAACGGGAACGATTCATTAAGGACTGACGAGATTGTGCTCTCTCAGTTTTTTATCGAAGACTTCCAGCCTTCCTTTGGGCTTGCCTTCTACAGCAGTACTGGTATGTGAGGTTGAAGCGCTGGCACCCTCTGAGCCATGACCCACTTTGGGATTAACCAGAGAGCTCAGTAAAACACCACAAGAAAACACAACTGTTTTTCTCAAAAGCAAAAGTCTGAGATGCTTATACCTACACATACACACTATTATATAATATTCACAGTCACATCTGCTGGCAGCTATAGCAAACATTAAAGGAATAGTTTGATATTTTCATAAATACACTTTCTTGCTGGGAGAAAATAAGAAACTTAATACCAATCTCATGTCCATTTAATATGAACATACAGTGTTAGCATATCTTAGCAACTGACATGACAGTGGTATCAAGGATATGTGTTTGTGTGTATAACAAAACCAGTTCATAATCACACAGACTGTGTGTGTGTTCTTCTGTGTGTTATACTACTGTATATATACTACTGTATTATACAAACACCTGCGTTATTATGTTTCTGTGTATTTAATGAATATGTGAATATTCTAAAACATTGACATAATATCTCTGTGAGAGACGATTAAATAATAATAAACTAGCCTTTGAGATTATTTTAAAGTTGAAATTGATTTTTAACTTTTCAAGATCATATGTAAGAAAGTCATCATGTCCCTTTTAATTTACAGCATTAAAATGCAATATAATATTGCCACGCTTTATAGTTCAATTACGTTGGAGTTGACTGCTAAACCTATGTTTTGATAACGTGGCTGCTTTTTGCTGTCATAGTTTCAGTGTGGGAAAGAAAGATAGAAAAGGGGCCAGTGTGAAATAATCTTGTGGGGACTCTCTCTCTATCCACTACACCAGGAGGTTTTTGTATATTGTACCTTCAGCTCTAGACAGATTAGTTCTGTGAAAATGTTTCTTTTTCATTGCAACAGTTTACAGGGTGTTCGTCTTATTTGTTGCTGGCACTCTCTGGTATTACGCCCACTCCCCGCCTCTACTTTCTGTCTGTTTCTCTGTTTCAGGTTGGTATAATCGACTCTACATCAGTTTCATTCTCAGGAGGCACATCTTGTTCTTCATGCTTCAGACATACTTTCCCACCATGCTGATGGTGATGCTGTCCTGGGTGTCTTTCTGGATAGACAGGAGGGCTGTACCTGCCCGTGTCTCTCTCGGTACTGACACCATACACAGTTGAAAATTCAAATTCAAACAATATTATGAATTTGTATGCTCATCCAAATTGGCATAATAACATCACTACTCCTAGTTTTGTTTGTTTTGTTTCAGGAATAGTTCAAAATTTGGGGAAATTATTCAGTTTGTGCAGAGATTTGAATGATAAGTCTCATGTTTGTATGCTAAAGATAATGAGGACTTAGGCACAAAGGCTGGTAAAAGGAGAAAATATCTAGCCTGACTCTGTCCCAGTGTGACAAAGTCTGCCTTGTCTAAAGCTCACAAATTAATGTGTTATATCTAGATTGTTTGATGCACACAAATTGTGAGTCTTGTCATCATAGTGAGGTTACCATGAAACCAGCAGGGACGACTCCTCCCTTACCTTCCCAGTTTAAGTGAAGAGATAAGAGAGTGATATCAATCTTTTCATCTAACTCTGTTTGATGGCTAAAATTAGGTGAAATTGTTACATGAAATAAGATACAGAATTATGCAAAAATATTGAACAGCTGCAGTTGCACTTGTTCTAATATTTATTTTTAGAATATTTACCATGCAACTTGGGTATGCTGATGATTGGACTAATGGGACCTATTGTTTAGCAGTACATTATAGTGTGTTGCTGTTTTAGATTTGCTGACTTTCATCCAACCAAACAACCAATGTTATTTATGAAGTGACATGTTTAATACTCCTGATGTGTTGTACTGGTGCTTTCAGGCATCACCACGGTTCTGACAATGTCCACCATCATCACCGGTGTCTCAGCCTCAATGCCACAGGTGTCTTATGTCAAAGCTGTAGACATCTACCTGTGGGCGAGTTTCCTGTTTGTCTTTCTGTCTGTAATCGAGTACGCTGCTGTCAACTATTTCACCACAGTGGAGGAGATGAAGAAGCTCAAGAGGACAAAGGTCATTCATGTTGAGATTTTTTTTCTTCTGGCCTCTAATGACTCCCCAAATCTCATGTGACTGGTTTGACTCACAGAAAATCATTTCCTACCATCTGGAGTTCACTGACCTCAAAGCCTAATGTATGATAACTCTCCTCTCTGTTGCTGCAGATCCCTGCGTCCTTCAACGCCACTGAGTCTATGGTTTTTGATGGCTGTTACCACAACACTGACATTGACCTGACTTCTTTCACAGAAGTCGCCAGCACCCCAAATACAGAGAGGAACACCCAGTCACGAAACTCTACTGTCTCTGCACCCTTGGAAGGTACCAGGCTGCGACGCAAGCACTCTGTAAAACAAAACCTCAGCTTCATAATGAGCAACAGCTACATGATCGACTCCTACTCCAGAGCCATGTTTCCTCTGGCTTATCTGCTTTTCAACATCATTTACTGGAGTTTGTATGCATAGCACCTTATCTTTGCGGCAGTGATCTCTTTTGAAGTATGCAGTTGTACTATTTACATTTTAGGATTTTACAGTGTTTTATTGTTGGGCTAGACACAAATGATCAGACTCTAAAATTACTGTAAAACATCTGGCAAAATAAATGTACGCTCTTAAAGATGCATCAAGCTGAACATATTTACCAACAAAGCTTTACTTTGCTTTTTATTTAT